CACTTTAGAAATAGTTGGCACACATGTGTCATATCAAAGTATCTCATCAGCGTGCTTTGTTGCCATCCACTGAGGTCTGTTACTGCTTATTGCATGTTTGTAATGGATAAAATACAGCTCTGGGTTTTATTGGAAGAGAGAACATCTTGGGCTTAGAGTTTAGATCATCAGTTCTTGTCACATTTACATTTTTTAAATGGCTCTTTAAAAATATATGGGTACTTTGGATGAATATTTTTATCCACGTTAAATGAATAAAACAAGTCTCCCTTTCCAGTGCTCAGAGATTTGCGCTCTGCCAAAAGAAGAATGACAATGTTTTGTTTTGTTTATCTCAGGCTTCCATCAGTTCAGTATTAGATTATGAAGAATGAGCAGCTAAACTGTTTCACTGCAAAGCCCTCAAACTGTGAATCTCATCAGATGTTTTTCAGGTGCATATTAAACTCCTCTGATGTTTTTATGTATGGGTAAAAGTATAAAATAACATTTCACTGTAATTAGCATATGCTAAAAGGCCAAAGTGACATGTAATCATAGCAATAGCACTTCAGTTGCTAATCTGAATTAGGAAGTGAGGCTAAATTAAAAAACGTTGTGCTCCAAAATAATGCAAAAAACTTGTGCATCCATTTATCACTTGGGGGGGGGGGGGGGGGGGTGTCTAAAAAGCTCCTTAAAATGTCATCAGTTGATTCAGGAATGCTGCTGGTGGAAATCTGGTGAGGTAGGAGAGATCTGTCACGGTTGTACGAGGACTGGACCTAAAATTCAGACTGACACAATGAGTTTGAAGAAACAACCAAAACTAGTTTATTAACAAAAAACAAAAGCATGGCAGCATAACTTACACACAAAACTCAAGATGGATCACACAATGAACTCTAGAAATACAATGAGGAAAACCAAATGTGTTGGCAGGGAGGCCAATAATGCTCTTATGGTGAGTTGAAAGACATGGCCTGAATATAAAGGACAGAGATTATTGATGGAGGCACCTGAGTAGATTGAAAACAGGTGAGAGTGGCAGGCTGACTGGAAAAACACTGAGGAGATGTAAGAGATGGCACATGGAAAAACACTGATCTGATGAGAACAGCAGAACGCAACATTAGGATCCAACAAGAAGTCACTAAAACACACAGATCCTGACATATTTCTCAAATTTTAGCTTCTCTCTCTTTCCATTGACTCAATGTAAGATTCAGAATATACTTTAAACTCTCACTTCTAACATGCATAGTTCCCATTTTATATTAATGATCTTATTCATATACTTATAAATACTATATATCATACGTATACTTTTTTCAAGATGGCGGCTTGCAAGGATGCATGAACTCTGAACTCTTGGTTTTAGTGTACTGTATAGTTTTTATAATGGTTTGGATGTTTTTATCTCCACCTACATGCACGGCCACCACTGACCTCCAGTCACAGTGTATTTATTCACACTCCAGGAACATCAGGTGAGGCAGGTGCTGAAGACCATGCACACCAGGAAAGCAACCGGACCAGATGGTGTACTTGTAAAAATAACTTGGACCTGTGCTGACCAGCTAGTGGGAGTCTTGACCAGATTGTTTAACCTCTTACTGTCACAGGCTACCAACCCCAGTGCCTCAAGTCAGCTAACATCATTCCTGTCCCAAAACCTTCTGCCCCCAAGTGCCCCAATAATGACAGGATTATTGCCTTATCATCGGTTGTTATGAAATGTTTTGAGAGACAAAATAAATAGATCAATGGAGGATGCCATTGCTATAGGTCTTCACTCAGTGCTCAGCCACCTTGAGCAGCCAGGGAGTTATGTCAGAATGCTGTTCATAGATGTTAGATCAACATTTAACACCCCTGACATCCTGGTGGACAAGCTGATTGACATCGCTCTCACACCCTCCACTTGTGCCTAAATCAAGAACTTTTTGACTGACCATCTTTAAATGGTGAAAGTTGGCTCCACCTCCTCCTCCACCCTAGCCACAGTTACTGAAAGCCAAGAGCTCAGGGACCGGACATCCAGCAGTTATTGTCATTAAGTTTATTTTATGGTTTAAAATCTATCAAAGTTTATGCTCATTAAATCCAACAATATTCAGTCAGGTCATCTGAATGGTTTATTTTGTTGCTGAGACATTTCGTCCTTCATCCGAAGGACTTCTTCAACATGAGGAGCCCAAAACAGCTATCTTACCACCAGCAAACTGTTTTATTTTCCCACTCTGGGAGTGTGCTGTTGGTGGGATTGAGTTTGGTTTGGTAGGCTCCTCAGACTGAAGAAGTCCTTCAGATGAAGGACGAAACATCTCATCAACAAAAGAAACCGCCCAGATGACCTGAATGAATATTGTTGGGTTTAAAATCTAGTTTTATTTAAAAATGAACCCATTGGTGGGCTGAACTGAGCTCACGCGTGGGCCTGATTTAGAATTGAATGGTTGAATAGCCCTGTGCTAGAAGGTTAAGCTAACATGGACTATACTTTCATTTTAGTACATTTTTGTTATAATGTTAAATTGTAGACTTTTGCATTTTTATTTTTATTTTTACAACATTCAAATACAAATTTGAATTCTTATTATGTTTCAGTTGGAAGAATGTGAACTTCACTTTGCTCACAGATCAGGAAACTCTGAGCAACCTTCTTCATTCTGTAACAACCAGGGTGACCTCTGTCTCTGCATGTTTGCCAAGGACCGTGATGAAGGGCGACCGCCTCTGTCAATCAGTGTCAAAGTTATTTGACTTTTAGTAAAATGCCGTCTCCGCCCTGTGTGGCTATTTCAACAGTTTTCATGTTCAATGACCAAACCCCACGCTGAGGTGTCTTGCCTACAGACACACGGCTCTAACAGTTCGAACAGTAAAGATAGCAGCTTTGTGCCGAGAAACTCTGACTCACAGCTGCGAACCTGTTTGGAGCAACATGATCCTTAGAGTCTGCTGTGAATGTACTACCACACCCCATCCACAGACATTATCACATCCTGCTCAACTATTCACCGTGTATTGTGCGTTAATCTCCAAGAGTGCAACATCTCAGACAAATATCCTGGACTAAATTACTGACAGATTATACACACTAAAACCTGCAGTTGGAAGGTTGTGTGAGAATTACATTTGCACAATTGTTTGCTCACTCCATGTGCAGCCAGTTGCTGCATATTAGGTTAAACATTCACCCTAGATGAACTTACTGGCTTTTCATTTAAAACTCAGTTAAAATTCATTTATGTGCAACAGCAAGTGTGAATAAAAGATTATTGGCATATTGGTTTAGTTTAGTCCCAAACTGCACTTGATCAAGGTATTTCCCAGTGGACATAATTTTATTTTAAATCCTGCTGCTCCTACTGTTTATTTACTCAGTTTGTCTTTCTTATTTGCTGTTAATAGAGCTGCCCTGTGTGGGAGAGTAAGGCATGAATAACTTCTTAAATGTTTCTGGAATAACATTTGTTTCAGCCATTTATGTTAGACAAGTATGGTTTTAAATATGGAAGGAAGCAGTTAGAAACAGTTGGAAGTGTTTTGTGATGGACTCCTGGAGCTCCACAAACACAGCAGATTGTCACATGGTGGCCACACCCTTCACAGATGTGCCATATTTTTATTTTTGGACTGCAGAATGGAGATTTTTAACTGAACTGCACCCTCTTGTGTTGAATTATCATTGTAACTATACCACTGTCTGCGTTAATGTGATTTTATGTTTAAAGAAAATACTTTTAGGACAGCTTATAGACATTGTAAGGAGAAAAAAGTAAATTTTAAATATAACTTTTTAACACCTGAAACTGTGTATCATTATTTATTTTCTGTAGAAATCTGATCGATTCTCACAAAGTCAAGGAAGTTTGTAAGACGAGAACAAAAAAGTGTCCCAGCCTATTCGCAATGTAAATAACAGATAAAGGTGGAGATAATAATATATTTGAAACTGAGTTTTGTAAGGCAACAAAAAAGGATTTATAGAGGGCTTTGCAAAAGCCTGCAGCATTTTGGGGAAAAGAAAACCTTTAACAGAAAAATACATTATTTTTCCACAGTCTCCAACTGTTTAAAGAAGTACTGTCCATAGTTTGCACTGTTGTACAAAATTAAATACACTGTTATTACTATTTTTCTTCTACAGTTTTAAACATGCAACCATTCATATGCTGATAAGGAAGTTTATGTTAAGTTTTGCGTCTTCAGGACACCACAAGTCAATTTTCAAGATGTACATTCTACCTAATGTTTGGGAGAAATTATTTTATTATTGTTATTTATTATTATTTTAGAATATTAAAATGCAGCTGTTTTAACACCTTCTACTTAGATTTTGAAGTACCTCATAGTACAGAAACTTCTGTTAAAAAGGCTTAATGAGTTCAACAACAGAACCGCTTAAAACAAGTTCTTTTTGACTTGACTTTTTTTGTAGTTTTGTTGTATAAGTTAGAATCTTGAGTGTTAATTAAGGCCTCAGCTAGAAATTTTTTACACTCACACTGGTGAAACAGAACCACTCTCAATATGTATACAATGGCACCATCTTCTGGTGATGTACCCCAAGGATGTGTGTTTAGCCCCCTTCAGTTATTTTATATATTTGCTAGATTTTAGATCGGCTTACTCAAAATTATGGTATTTTCATTTCTATGCAGCTGGCACTAACTTGCACATGCTGACAACACACTGGTCTCAGCAACCCTGCTAAAATCAACTTATTCTGGAATTCAGTCAAGAAGTCAACAATCAAACTCATTATCCCCAGTTTCTTTGAATACTGTTAGGTCATTAATTCCATCCTTTTCTGTCATTTTAATCACATCAAGAGCTTCTTAAAATCAAATCTTCCCACAGCCCTCTCCACCTTTGACTAAAATTGTTTAAATTAAGACTTCAAGGCCTCTAGGAAGACTTTGAGGTGCTATTCATGGGGGATAATCAAAAAAAGTCATAGCACTACAGCAAAGTGGTTTATACATTTTACAAACAGACAGTAAACAATTATGTTCGCTTCAAGATCTTTATTGAATTTTACTGGTGGTTTCAACGTTTTACTGAACGTTATCAACATCCACGTCAACAGTCTTGCTGGATTTAACAATCTTTCCATCAATCACTGTCTCCTGCACAGTAATTACCTTTGTGATCACTGAAAAACGAAACAAGAGTCATGAGCAATTGTAATTTCTGAAAGCTTTAATATGTTCCTAATATTTTAGTAGAAAGTTTCTTACCTTGTTTTGAGCTGGTATTGAAAGAAAGACAAAAAAAAAAAAGGATATTAGTTTGCACTTCTGTTGTTTGTTTTGTTCATAATAATCTCATCATCTGGCCTATAAATTGAATTTTTTTAGGTCTCACCTTTCATCTTCTCCATCAAGCAGCCTCCTGTACTCTGCAATCTCGTTTTCCAGGCGAGTCTTCAGGTCCAGAAGCACGCCATACTCCTGAGTAAGACTAGTGATGCTGCTGTTAATCTGGGCTATCTGCACCTCCAGGTTTGTGACCTGTGCCTGGAGACTTGATAGTTGGGCAGTGTAGCGGGCCTGAGTCTCTGCCAGGGTTCCATCCAAAGATACTTTCTATTGTTATAAGAGAACGAGGTGATGAGGTTTCTTTCATTAAAGACAACACATAGACAGCAGCTGAAACATTTGCTTTAATGCTAGATGTGAGATAATTATCACAAGTCTGTTGCTGGGTTTCCATGCAGATAAATAATATCACAGTTGGTCTACAAAGTTAACTGATGTTTTTTGTTTACTGTTTTTATTTGATTTTTATGAGCTTGTTCAACAGGATCACCAGTTGGTAGAACCAATTCACCAGTAGAAAATAATGCTCAACAGAATAACTATTATACTGATAAAAATGCTCAAGGTCCGAGGGTACAATTGAAAAAAAAAAACTGATAATTTTTAACACTTAAAACTGTGTGCTCGTTCTACGTTTTCCATAAACTATCATGTAAAGTAAGAACCACTACCTGTGTAAGTGCTGATTCAATGTTCCCACTATTGTTTTCTTTATTTTTTTATTTTCAGTTCATCTTTTGCAATCAAACTACTTCTGCATTAGTTCATGCATTTCTATTTTACTCATTCATTCTTTTTTCTTTACAATTTATACCTTTGTTGGATGTAACTGGGACCCTGTGTACACAATTTTGTTCCACCACATGTACCACATGCATGACAAATAAATAAACTTTGACTTATGACATCGTTCAATTTCTTCAAAGACGTTCTGTTTGAAATCACCTTCAACATATTTACGCTGACTTCTTTTTTTACTTGTAGTTTCTAGCACCCAGACTGCTAGGTTTAGCTTTTAGCTACTGTTCTGCAACATTTAGCTTTAAGCAAGCCTTTTGCTACTTTTTTTTAGCAAATATTCTGCTACTTTTAGGTTTTAGCTAGCCTTTTGCCTATTTTAGTTTTTAGCCATGTTTTGCTACTTTGAGCATTTGACTAGGTTTTTGTTACTGTTAGCTTCTAGCTGACCTTTTGCTACTGCAACTCTTAGCAATTCGCTACTTTTACATTTTAACTAACCTTGTGATGCTTTTAGTTTCTAGTTACCATTTTGCTACTTTAAAATTTTGTTGGCTTTTTCTTATTTTTTTTTGTTTCTTGCTATTTTTTTATCATTGTTATTATTTTAGTTTTTAGCTAGTGCTTTGCTACATTCATGTTTTGACTAGTTTTCTGGGTGTTTTAGCTTTAATAACTCACTTTCAGCTTCTGTAGCAGCACGCTGCATTTAAACTCAATTTTAGTTGAAAATTCAGTTTATCCAGTTTTCATTGACTATTTTCTTCAACCAAGATCTAAATCGTCCTAAACTTAAACTTATTTGTAAAAGGTGGGTTTGGTTAGGCAGCACGGTGGCGCAACTGGTAGAGCTGCTGCCTCTCAGCGAGCAGGTCCTTGGTTCAAACCCCGGTCCGGGGGCCTTTCTGGGTGGAGTTTGCATGTTCTCTCCATGCATGCATGGGTTTTCTCCAGGTACTCCGGTTTCCTCCCACAGACCAAAAACATGCATGTTAGGCTGTTTGGTAACTCTAAATTGTCCCTAGGTGTGAGTGAGAGAGTGAATGGTTGTTTGTCTCGTTTGTCTCCATGTGTCCCTGTGATGGACTTGCGACCCGTCCAGGGTGTACCCCGCCCCTCGCACAGTGATTGCTGGACATGGGCACCGGCGACCCCCGTGACCCAAAATGGAACAAGCGGGTAAAAGATAATGGATGGATGGATGTATGCGTTTGGTTAGGGGTTGGACATACCATGCTAAGCTGGGACTGCAGTTCAATCTCGAGCCTCTGCAGGGTGGACTTCAGATCTTTAATCTCTGTGCGTTTTGTCATCAGACTGTCTGAACTTTCTTTTACTTCCACCTCAATGGCTGAAGACTGAGCAGAAACACAACACACACATATTAATACACCAGTCAACTTTTTAAAAGTCACTTGAACTAATCTGTGACTTCACTTCTCACCTTGTTCTGATACCACAACTCCAATTCTCTGCGGTTTTTGGCAATTAGAGCCTCGTAGTGATCCCTGATCTCTGTCATGACCTGGTTCAGGTCCACAGAGGAAGGAGCGTCCACAGACACGTTGACCTGACCGCCCATCTGAGTCCTCAGCTGAGCCAACTCCTGCAAGGGATATGGGGATTATGTCAACATTTCAATCCGGATGTTTTTGATTCTTTGATCGTTGGGCAAACAGAAACAATGAGCTAATGGAGGAAGAGAAGAATACGAGGAAATGGGCAGAGAGACGTGGGGCAACACTGGAAAAAGCATAAGGCAGCAGAGATGTTTTTGAAAACAGTAACCTAACATAATATTTCCTCTGTTTTAACAGGTGAGACAGAGGTCATGCATTTGCTCAGTACACAATAGAAGAATAAGGTAAACTGAGACAACAGAAAACAGCTGCCACTGCAAAGATGAATGACTTTAATAAAGTTAAGTCAGGTCCTCTGGACAGATTAAAAAAATGTAAAACTTGTTGAAACTTTTTGTCTTTAATTCAAAATGCTTTGTCACTCTGAGGAGCTGCAATGAACGCAGTTTTATAAATGACATCCCAGTGGCTTTTAAACCCCAAAATACATTACAGCAATGACTGGTCCATCCCAAAAATCCAGTCCCCCGGCACAAACAGAGTAATATTGTGCATGCTGTTCAGTGTCAGGGATGTGATCAGTCTTACATCAGGGAAACTAAACAGCCACTGGCCAAAAGGATGGCCCAGCACAAAAAATCAACATCAGACTAGGACTCTGTGGTCTACACTCATCTCCAGGCCAGCGGTCACTCTTTCAGGGATGAAGATGTTCACATCCTGGATAGAGAGGAATGATGGTTTGAGAGAGGAGTAAAGGAGGCCATCTTTGTGAAAAGAAACTGTCCATCATTAAACAGGGGCGGAGGCCTCCATGTCCAACTGTCCCCCTCTTACAATGCTGTTATTGCTAGTATCACTCAGCCCCCTGTGAATAGCAAGCGACTATCAAGGCACTAACGATCAGTTGTTAGGCTGGTGGTCCTCCTTTATCTTGTGAACAGCTAGTTTTGGCCGTCGCCAGCAAACTGGTTGATCCACTATGACAAGGGGCTGTTTACAAAAACTGAATTTATTGCAGCTCCTCAGACTGACAAAGTCTTTTGGATAAAAGATGAAACGCTTCAACAAGTTTTTTTGTTTTTTTTAATCCTTCCAGGTGACCTGACTTAACTTTGTTACATTTGTCTGGATTATTGAGCATGCAGCAGGATATTAATGACTTACAACTTATTTTCAGGTTCTGTGCAGACATTGTATACACAGAGTTTGCATGTTCTCTTCGTGCTGTGTGGGTTCTCTCCTGGTACTCCAGTTTCATCCCACAGACCAAAAACGTGCATGTCAGTCTGATTGGTAACTCTAAATTGTCTCTAGGTGTGAGTGAGAGAGTGAATGGTTGTCTCGTTTGTCTCTATGTGTCCCTGTGATGGACTTGTGACCTGTCCAGAGTGTACCCCGCCTCTCGCACACTGACTGATGGACATGGGCACCAGTGACCCACACGACCCGAAAAGGAAGAAGCGTGTAAAGATAATGGATGGATGTAGAGACAGACATTGACAGATCTTCCCAAATAATAAGGTTGTTAAGATTCTTGCACTTGCTCCCTTAGCTGCCATCTTACCTCCTCGTGGTTCTTCTTCAGATGGAGGAGCTCGTCCTTCAGTGACTCATACTGACTCTCCAGGTCCATTCTGGCTAGATTCAGTTCATCCGTCACCCGCCTCAGTCCAGCGATGTCGCCCTCTACAGCCAGTCTCATGTTCAGCTCAGTCTCAAACCTGAGAGGACAGAACAGGTCAGAGGGGTGCCAGATCCTCATGGAGGGCAGAGTTCATGCTCTGATGCCTGTGTGAAATAGCCCTTCAGTGGCAGGGCTGAAACATGCAAAGAGAATACTTACTTCATTTTGAAATCCTCAGCAGCCAGTTTAGCATTGTCGATGTCCAACACTGTCTTGGCATTGAACATGGAGGAAATGCGAATCTGAGAAAAAGTTAAAGGTGTTAGCTGAAAATACACTTGAGCTCAGAATCCTTACAGTTTAAACCATTTATAACAAATACCATTTGTTAAAATGTACAAAATGTTCCTTAAATTAAGTATATAAAAGTGTTCGGAACCCCTAAAGTTAAATACAGACCAACAGATCCCTCAAGGAAACAGATGATGAGAAGAAGCTCTTGCTGCTTCTTACCTTGTCCTGCAGCTCTTGGATGGTGGCAAAGTAGTGGCTGTAGTCAAGGGTGACCACAGTTTTGCTCTCATACCACTCTCTGATCTGCTTCTCCAGGCGCTGGTTCTCCTTCTCCAGCTTGTGCACCTTCTCCAGGTAGGAGGCCAGACGGTCGTTCAGGTTCTGCAGTGTGGTCTTCTCGTTGGCGTCAACGTGGAGGTCAAGCCCTTCAGTGTTGCCCAGGCCAAGGAAAGGTCCATAGCTCATCTGGGATGAGGAGACACGGGTACCACGACCTCCTGCTCCACCGTAGACACTCATGGTCTTATGGCCGATGGCCTGGCTGTAGGATCTGGAGCTGAACGACATGCTGGAGAGTCTCGATCAGGTCGAAGGACGTCTGAAGATATAACTGGAGTTGAGCTGCAATACAAAGCATCACCTGCTCTCCTTGGTTATATAGCTGCCACTTGCAGATAAGTGGGAAGGGCTTGAAGTTCCAGCTGAAAGGATGGAATGTGGTTGACAGATGACCCCACATTTTACCGTGCAATGTCTTCATCGCCCTGGGTGTGGAGATCGATGGGTATGGGGGCTGTTCTCTTATTTTCAAGACAAACTTGCGATTCAGCATTTTCTTGTTTCTGGGCTGAAGGGCAGTGATTGTATTATTCTTTCACCAGTCGGCTTATAGGCGTTGAAACTGAAAAATACCATACCTGACCCTTTTTGAGCATACCGGTGACAAAAATGGCACATACCAGAGACAATTTTAAGCTTTATGAAACCTGGGCCGAGAGGGGCGAAGGGCAGCTGCAATTAATTGTTGTCATATAGCCGCTAAAGAATGTATGTTTAGGAGCACGTTTTGTAAAGTTTAAACAATGCAAATCAGCTAATAGAAAGATTTTTAGGTACTAAGGTTTACTTACAGCAGAAGCTACAGTAACTTTCAAGCTACCGTTGTGAACAAGGAATAACGGTCAAAATCAGTTTGATAGTGTTTGTGTTTCGCTTGTTCATTTTAGCATTTAGCTAAAAAGAAAGAAAGAAAGAAAAAGTGCCACAATTTGCTCATGAAGCCAAAGCACAATCAAAAGAAATCTAAATGTTGTACTTCAAGAATTCAAACCTGGTAATGAAGAAAGTAAAAATTATTGCTACTTTGACTTCTTGGCTTTGCAGTTTTGTAGTCAACATTTATTAAAAGAAGTTAAAAACAGCAAAAGATGACAACTGCTAAATGTTCATGGACATTTGTGTTTGCTTGTCGTTGTGCAAATTCTGTCGTCTAATTTAATAGTTTGGTGTCGTTGTGAAATCTGAAGGAAGCTAACCTTAGAGGAAGGGTTTTTTTTTTATGTAGAGTTTTGTACCAATTTGCCTTTTCCTAAAGCTTTACCTGCTAAGCTTTTAAAACGATCTTGCTAGAGTACTAATTTTAAATGTTTTTTTAAAGTATTTGTTTTGTGTATGACAAAATTAAGAATAATATCAACAATAATGTCAACAATGGTGTACCACAAGGCTCAGTCTTAGGACCCACCTTCTTAACAATCTACATAAGTATAGGTCAGATCATTCCCGACACATCCTTACATTTCTATGCCGATGACACAGTTGTTTATTGTCGAATTCGAACAGTTGTTAAGGTTTTCCAGCTTTTACAGTCTGCATTCGACATCATCCAGTCAGATTTGTTCTGTCTCAAACTTGTGCTAAATGCTGATAAAACCAAAGGGATGTTGTTTTCAAACAGGAAGTCTGTACCTGCTGTCCTTCCTTCTGTCTTATCTACGAATGGTGTTCCTATTGAGTTTGTTGATTCTTACAAATACTTGGCAATATATGAATGTTTAATGCTGTGTGTACCTCATCTGTGGTTTTTTGTTTAAAACAGGTCTCACTTGTAAATGAGTCCTCGTGATTCAATGAGACTAACCTGTATAAATAGAGGTTGAACAAATGAAAAAAAGAACAATATGGAAAGATTCAGACACCATCTGATAAATAGTATTTTCATAAGCATTTTAGGTTTAGGTTTGCAATAAGCTAAAAGAATGTGCAGCCTCACCGATTAAGCCAAATTTTCATTTTCATTTTTTATTACCAGTATATTTAGCATTAAGACAATGTGAATTTGTAAATAAATTAATAAAAATATTATTATTTTACTTTTGGATTAATGCAAACAACATTTTCATCAGCTACAACTGCAGCTTTTTGCTAACTGCTAATGACCAGAAGCTAAAATGTAAACTACAGTAATGGACAGGATTTAAAAGTTAAAAATCTATTTGTTGCTGTTAGTGTGAGGATATTAGCTTTCTTAGAAAGTTGTGAAACTGGAGTCACTAAAGTATTTCTGTTCTATTTATCACTATACCTTTTGTGTGACTGTAATGGTTTTTTGTTTCAGTGAAGAATTTACGACTTACATGTATTTAAACAACATACTGTAGGTAGAACGTCTAAGTGTTTTTCTCTCTAAATATATACTTCCGTCAGCCGTCACAGTGATGAGCAGGGAGAGGTCAGACATGCTGATGACTGACGCTTTTACTTCCACCTCCTGATTAGTTTGTTTCTTTAAACAGCAAAACAGCATGAAATTACAAGGATTTTTTTTTTTTTTTCAGTTAACAAATTATTTATCATGTCAAGTGTCTGTTTGAGCCATCCATCCATTATCTTTTACCCGTTTCTTCCATTTTGGGTCACGGGGTCGCCGGTGCACATGTCCAGCAATCATTGTGCGAGGGGCGGGGTACACTCTGGACGGGTCACAAGTCCATCACAGGGACACATAGAGACAAACAACTATTCACGTTCTCACTCACACCTAGGGACAATTTAGAGTTACCATTCAGCCTAACATGCATGTTTTTGGTCTGTGGGAGGAAACAGGAGTACCTGGAGAAAACCCATGCATGCACGGAGAGAACATGCAAACTCCACCCAGAAAGGCCTCCGGACCGGGATTTGATCCGGGGACCTGCTTGCTGAGAGGCAGCAGCTCTACCAGTTGCACCACCGTGCTGCCCGTCTGAGCCATTTTATCAAATTTTCAGCATTTGGGTTTTAGGAGTTTGGTTGGTTAACTGGATGGTTTAGTGCACTCAATAAAATAAATTGGTACAGTAAAAGAACAGATTAGAAAAATACCTTTTAAAACCTTTTAAAGACTGAAATGTTGTTTTCAAACAGGAAGTCGGTCCCAGCAGTCCTTCCATCTCTGAATGGTGTCCCTAATGAGTTTGTCGATTCTTACAAATACCTGGGTATCTTGGTCGATACACATCTCTCTTTTAAGCCTCATGTCAAAAACTTGATAAAGAAACTGAAATTAAAATTGGGTTTCATTTTTAGGAATAGATCCTGTTTAACTCTGAACACTAGAAAACACCTTGTAGCTGCTACTTTCCTTCTGGCCATTGACTACGGTGACATTATCTACAATGCTCCTGCAAGCACCTTGCAGATGTTGGACGCTGTCTATCACGGTGCGCTAAGATTCATAACAGGCTGTAACTACCGTACCCATTACTGCACCCTATATTCACTGGTTAACTGGTCATCATTAACTTCACACAGACTCTCTCACTGGTACGTTTTCGTCTTTAAATCACTTCTTGGTCTGTTGCCTTCATATATCTCCTCCTACATGTCATGTCATCAGTGCAGTTACAGTGAGCGCTCTCAAGACATCATTACCCGCAGCATCTCCTCAGTGTGGACCGCATTTGGCAAAAGTGCCTTCTTCTACTTCTCTGATGTTTCCTGGAACACCTTGCAAAAAGAGCTGAAGCTCTCAACTTTGACCTCTCTAAGGGATTTTAAACAACTGCTATGTTCATGGCAAAACCCAACACAGACATGTTCCTGTTTTAAATATTTTACATCGCTTTATAATGTAGCTTTTATTTAGTTTTTTATCACTTCTTTTATTTACTTTTCATTTTATACACTTTTATATGATTGTCTGCTGTTGTCATCTGTGTTCTTTGTTTAAAACAGGTCTCTCTTGTAAACAAGTCCTCATGACTCAATGAGACTAACCAGTATAAAGAAAGGTTGAATGAAATACAAAAGTACAACGGCAGACAGTACAAGAAATAGTGCAAGTGATGGCAGTTATGCATATCATGCATGTTTTTCTTTATTTCTGTTTTATTAAATTAAGATGTTAAACACACAAAAAAAAAACTTTTGAAGTATGAGAACACAGAGAATATGGAGTGAGAACCCCCCCATGCTTCTAATATGAGCCATGGGGTGGGTGGACTGTCCAACCTGTTTCTTCAGAGACCTTTAGCCCCTTAATCCAGTTTCTGTCCAGCTTCAGGTGGTGCCTGGTCCCATATATATATTGAATATGTCACTGCAAAGATAAACCATCTGAGCTACCAGTAAAAATAATTTTAAAATTAAATTCGTCTTTATGAAATCATCCCATAAAAATGTTTGAATCTATATAACTACAGCAGAACCGTAGTTTGAGTCTTAAATAGGGAATTAAAGACATTTCCTTACAGCTGGAGTTGTTTCAGCGTAAATCTCACCTTCTTCTTTCTAAAACCTCGAGGGGCCGTCTATCAGCAATGTCGCTGAGCAAGTCGGCAGGCTTGTAACACAACTTCCTTTCATGCACATAATCCTTTTTAATGTGGTTTTTCTCGGCTGCAGGTTGTTAAATGCAGTTTTTCTTGAAACCTTAATGGGACAGAAACACCCCGAGTAAATCCTGCCGCTCTTCTTTCTAATTAGAGATGTCAAAGTTTTGTGAAGGCACCTTTTCGTAATTATGGTTTATGTAACGATAATGTTTAAGTGGAGAGGATTAGTGATTTTATTTTACCCACTGTGAAATGTCAAAATGCTGATGTGGAAATTATTTGCTGCAATTTTCCCAGTCAGGGTTAGAATAGTTTCTTATTCATGTTAAGTATCCGTGACATTTTGATGGACAGCAGTACTTCCTGCTACTTTACGCATCAAGTTGCTACGAAAATGTTTTAAAGATTGTCAAACGGTGCCGCGGCAGCCATGTTTCTGTTGCTGAGAATAAACAAAGCAGAAAAATGAAGTGAGATTAAAATATGTGTTTATCTTCTGTCTGCAAATTAAATACCAACAAGAAAAGTTTTATATTTTCTGACAAAATGCGGCTTAGTGATGAATGTCTGCTGAAATTAGTTGAAGATGCTAAAACCCAACAGTTAAAACAAGCAGAACAGAAAATAAAATGAGCAGAACAGTGAAAAGCTAAAATGAGCTAAACTGGAGTTAAAACCAAACATCGGCAAAACTGTAGCTAAAAGTTAAATCCGTCAAACTGTGGCTAAAAATTATGACAGCAAAATAGTAGCTAGAAGCTAACATTTTCAAAATTCAAGTCAGGAACCTAAATTAGCAAAACCATAG